GTATATAACTCGCGGGGCCATACGGTTCACAATTCAGGTTTGATCGTTACAGTTCGGGTTACCCCAATAGTGCAAGCCAATTGTCAATGCCCTGGGTAAGGTCTTGCTATTGCGAGAACCGCAACTTCGCGTCTGCGTATTGCACAAAGAGAAGTCATAAAACAGTTGTTGCCCAAGAGTCATGCGCGTTCTATTTAGCAAAGTGAAAGCAGGGATAATTTGGACCACATTCTCGGTTTTGTTGACCTCCGCCGAGCTGACAGGATCGGAGAGTGAGGCATGTCACAAAAGTGGCGATGCTAACAAGACCTACGAAAGTGACAAGATACTAGAGTTGGCGAACTGGAGCAGTCCTGACATACACGAGCGTGAGCTTGGTAAGTGTGACAACCGCGGCGAAGCCAAGCCTGATCGAGGAAGAAGCACTTCCAACCACATGGAGGTGATGCAAATGAGTGTATCGCCTCGCGGGCGATATGCTATTGGATGTTACATGTGGTGATTAGCAGCGCATAGACATGATCAAACGTCACAGCGATGCGTTTGAGGGGTATCAAGCAGCGCGGGTTGGCCGTACGCCGCATATGCCCCGTGAAAAAGAGAGAGCTCGGCGCTAATCTGGACAAGGTGAGCGAATGGGAAGTGTCATCGCAATTTACCGCGGAACCAGATCGAGCCAATCATCATTCAAAGGAGTCACGAAAACAATCTCACAAGCTAACGGACCCGTGGTGATTGGGCGAACAAGAAGAATCCACTCCCATTGAACGTGGCAGATAGGGCGGAACAATTGGCGGAGGAGACAGACTTGTGGCCTGTCAAAGTGAGCTCCAAGATGGGGCTGTAACCGGCCATATATCTGGGTAGCTCATTCATATCGTACAATGCAGGATCGGAGTGGGTCAATTGTCACATGCACAATGAAGTCCAGCGCCAATAGAGCCGTCCAAGTGATACCGTAGATGTTGAGAGTCAATACTTCCACTAATCGTTGGGCTTGTAGCATTCTGATAAAGGGCGCTGTAAGTGTTGACTCGCTTACGCGTTTTCATTCGAGTCACGAGTTCTGTCTCAGATCTTCGCGAACATATGGCTTTACCACAACACCTCCACTAACCACTTCCGCTATTATCAGTCATCCAGTTGAGTGACGTGCTGCATCCTCGCCTTTCAGAAGCAACGGCATAGGCTTCCGAGTCAAGCCACCGGCACGTTTCACAGCTCGCCTAGCGGAAAGGGCTTCAGAGCTGGAGTTGAGCCCCAGCTATTATCCGAAGACAAAGAGATCATGTCAGACATTGCTCTGGAATGCGAAAGCTTGCAGAACACGCATTGCGGGCACGTTGCCATCCTTAGGGTATTTGTTCTCAGGCTACATAATCAAAAACGCAAGGCCAACCGTCGTCCGTCACATTCGACCCCCGTCCGATAACGGTGGCCAAGGTTCTTTACGTCCCGCCGCCAAACTCTGTTGTGTGTCCACAAACGAGATTGCTCTCTTCTTTCCTTCGTTTACGAGAAAGTTCTAGGCACGTTTTCACAGTTGGTTGAAGGTTTCCATCCCATCCCCCCTCTCTCTTTCACCAACGTCTGTCCTTTACTCCCAGACGACCTTTGAAACGACCACTTACGACCACGACCTATTATATTCCGGATCTCAAAGGTCGACTTAATCGTATATACTCGTTACCATCAATCCGAACGGACAACACGTTTTCACCACGTAAACAAACTTCGCAGATCTCCAGCCCAATACCCAAGGAATCCCGGCGCTACTCGACCTTTCAGCCTCTTTCGGACCTCTTATCTCATAAAATGAGCGAAAAACAGACGATGCATCGAAGGGAAACGTCGGGTCAATGGGCAAGGAAAGCCCGTATGTCATTGAGTGTATGTCATTGATGCCTGGCTTGGAAGGAGGATGGCATATCTGATTGGGTGGTTGACTGCTCTCGCTTTTAGCAATCCAAGACTATGCTCTTCTCCGGCGTTGATATACTTCGGAACCTGGCTTGTTCTGCTCTCAGGGACGACAAGCGGCCTGATGTGAGTTTCCTTTTGTTCACTGAGACCATGCCGGAGCTCATTTTTCCCAATCTATAGGTGACATTGACGCGAGCGGCAACAATGGAGGAGCGCAAGCCAACCGTCCCAGCTGCTTCCACTCAAGTCGACACGAGACGGACGCGATCTCGGGTGAACAGCGATGTAACACAGCAGGTATGAAAATATCTTTGTTTTCTCCTATCGATGCTGACTCAGTCTCCTATGAGCAGCAAGCGGATGCAATGCGAAGAAGACGAGGTGGCTACTACGACGTCAACAAAGTGGCATCTGGTACGGTTCAACCTTCAAGGCCCGGGCCGAAAGGGCAAGTACGTCGACCCCCTCCGACGCGACCCTTGCCGCCAGTGTGCTTAGCAGCTCCAACGCCAACGCCAATGCCAACGCCAACGCCAATGCCAACGCCAACGCCAACGCCGATGCCCACACAAACGACCAAGGCACGACCGCCTCTTACGCACCAGGCAGGTGCAATCAATCCCTCTATCATCTCGTCTTCTTACTGAACCTTACTTTTAGCCCGAAAGTGCAAAATCTTCGGTTCGTCCGCGACGCGCTCTGCCAGCATCACCGCATATCGTAGCGAAACCATTGCCTCCACCGCCGCCTCCGCCAGTTCGTCGCAGTCAACAACGCAATCCTCAGCCAAAAGGGGGATCGCCATACCATGGGCTACGGCGAGTGAAATCCAAGGCGCGAAGACTCGCAAAGCGATTTGTCGCTACGGACCCTTCGACCTCGAGTCAGTCATCCAATTCGACCCTGGTGGACATCCCCCGAATTAGCCGAGCTCCTCCACAGGTAGGTCGAATCAACGGAATTGGTTATGTGTCTCATTCATACCTCTCGATCTTTTAACTACCTAGCTTGCTCGTCTAAGCGTTGCTTCGGACAGCACAACCGCGTCGCTGACGCGATACCTTGCTCGCCGTCAAGCGAAGGGAGTGTCTATCGACATGTCTTTGGCGCCTGAGAAGGGGATGTCTTTGATGAAGTACGAGCGGGAAGGATCCTGGATTGTAAATCATCCTCTGACTAAGGACAGCACATTCATGTGTCCGGTAAGGCGATTTTTGCTTGACCTCGTGCCCACGTGCTCGATATGTCCTTGACCAGGCGCTTATTCTCTTTGATAGTCGTCAGAATGCAAGGCTCACCACACTAGCCGAAGGGACTCGGAGAGGCCTCGTTCTCGACGGAGAATGAAAGGAACACGTCATACCATTGACACAGTCTTTGAGGCATGACCTTCAGCAACCCCCTTGTCTCACTTTCTTGGTTCTTCCAATCTTTGATCCTTATGTTGTCACCACTTCCATTATCGTTTGAAACCCTATGCCCAGCAGGCTCGCAAACGTCATGACATGACTTCCCGCAACGTTCGGCAGACTATACACTATCTTCTTAAATGTAATATACAGTCGCTTCTGGTTTGTTGTATGTTCACACCGAACCTCAGTTTCCGTCTCCTTTGACGACCAATCCCGCTCGCTTTAAGGCAGGTTTGAGCTCCCCTCTGGCATGCATCTGATTCATGTCGTCTGATCCGCCATATGATACAGAGTTCATGATGACGTTTGGGAAGGTGCTATGTCCAGTGAGACGGCCGAGGTAGGACTTGAGCCGCATGGTGTCGTCTGCCGGAATAATGGGCCATTAGGTCGCTGTCTCTCGCCCAACAATGTACTACGTGTCAACTCACTTCGGGTGTCAGCTTCCACGATGAACGGCGCCGGATGGATATCATACCGCATCAGAAGCGATTTTGCAGCTTTGGAGTACCTGCACAACAAAATCAGTTCTAGAAGCTAGAAATTGAGTTATCTGTACCGCTCACGGGCAGTAAGTCTGGGAAAGAAAAAAGAATCACAACAATGAGCTACGGATGTATGTGTGGCAAGCAATTCTTCACACGTACTTTGCTGAACACCGTCAAGGGTGTCTCCTGCTCAGTCTTGAGAATCAGGGCAGACCATTCTTTGGGTGTAACGTGCTCATTGATTCCCAAAGCGTACGGCGTCAAGAGAGCGCCGTCCTCGACCTCTGGGAGGGTTTGATCTGGGTAAGTCTTGAGCACGTGGATTAGTCCGCGGAGTTGGAGTTTCGGGTCGTTGATGAGTATGCTCCAGTACTTGGATGAACTGTTGTCTCGTTTGGGAGAGCTTATGCCGTATCGGATGACCACGAGACAGCCGAATGCGAGTGTGAGGTAGGTGATGATCCTTCTCGCGAAGGGAGTTAGAGAGGGAGCCATTTCTGGAGTTGCGGGTCAAATGTTCCAATGATATGGACTATGTATGTAGATGGAAGGAAGACACTGCTTGCAACGGAGAGTTTGTGCTGGGGAAGGACTTTTGGCGCTGGCACTTTTGAGTGACGGCTGTAGCGGAGACATGGCGGAGTTACGTAGCTTGAGAGCACCTTGCCGCCGAACCATCACACCGCTGCCTGCTGTGTAAGGTCTTAGGTGTGACTTCTGGGAAACCTTCGATTAGTTGTAGTGTGGCCTCTTAAGGTTGGGAAGTTTGTATGCCAACTTGAGAAAGTGAAGCGGCCATGACAATCTCCCCATCCTCGAATGCAATTTCGAGGCCCATGCTTTGGTTTGGCTCTCTAAAAAGATATCCTGCCCTATACATATGCCACAAGAGCAGAATATTCAAATTTTTGGGCAGAACCATGCCGGGTGGCGGGTTATTTCAAAATGCTTTAGGAGAGGAGATCGTCTCCAACCGCATATTCCACTTGGATCTGCTCATTCCGCTCTGTATTTGTCTATAACATTTTGGATGGCTATCAGTCGCTGAATTGAGGAAGGTATGAAGCAAATGCCCTAAAAGTGGGAATGCGTAGAAAAAGTAGAACACGTGTGTGTTTGCCTGGTAACAGAAACATTAATGCAGCTACATAAAACAAAAACGCGCCTCTAGCCAACTGGCTACCTGGCGCAATGGTAGCGTGTCCGCCTACGAGATCACGATTGTTGATTAGCTCAGCGGGAGGTTGCAGGTTCGAAACCTGCGGTGGTCATTCCTTTTTTGTATTTCTCGGTAGTTTTAGGGGTTTTGAACCTATATGGAACTCATTTGCCCAGTCCAGCGAAAGTCAATCCTACATCCAAGGGCAAGCGACGCAGTTGATGCCCGATTCAGTGTTGGCAAGGTTGGAATGACCCGCAAGCCTGTTGTTCTACATGACCAGAAATAAGCAAGGACTAAGAAAATCAAAAGAACGTGCCTCGTTTAAAGGCTTACGAATAATTCGGGACATCCCCGACCATTTGATCCCGGGACACGCCCTAGAGCAGCCGTATGGCAGGCAGAGACGACGGGTTGTTCTATGGCGGGTTGTTGGCAACATGTCAATTAAATTACTCATTTACTAAAAGGTCTTTCATCCTATACAACGACGAGAATTCAATACCTTGTCACCGGAGACGCCTTAACCTGGTGTGCATCTGTAACTTGGTACGACAACGTAGTGGCAGGCAACGTTACCGACTACACTTGTGGAAGATTTTAAGTATCTGAAGACGCCTTAGCTCGTGGCGATGGGAAGACTTTGATACTCCTCAAGGGTAAGGTTGATGACTTTGTGGTCCACCCAAACGCCACAAGACGCAGCATGAAACGTATTAAAAAGAAAAAGATGGGGGCTCAGTCAGCCATGTGGGCTATGGAGAACAAAGCCCTTAGGCACCGAACTCCGTTTGGGCCGAGAATTCGCAACGAGACGGCAAAAGTAACTAACATCGACAACAGCGACGAGCTCTGCTTTCCGCTTCCTCCTCCCGTCTCCTCTCGCTCTTACCTCCCTCTCCTTTATGGCCAACGGCATATACGCCACTCCTTACGACTCAAACGTCCCACTACCAACATCTAGAGCACCGCCAACCCGCCAGCCAACCAAATCCAATGGCCACCAGCACACCGCCAGTCTCAAACGAGGAAAGACACTCACTCGGCCAGAACGAAGCGTCGCGCCAGCACCTTTAATCAACCCGCCAGCAATCGTTCCCCCGCAGTATCCAGGTGGTCCGTCGACAGCGGCCGCAAACGCAGCAGCCGCGTCGGCTGCAGTGGGACAGTCAATCTGGGAACCTTGGTCCCTATACGCTCATCTCGTCACCTTTTGGGCACCACCTTTCATACTGTCGGCACTAGGGGGGTTTAAGGACCGGCAAGCGAGGCAGGCGTGGAGGGAAAAAGTGGCACTATGTTCCATCGCGCTCGTCCTGGGTGGAATAGTCGGCTTCGCTACAATGGGATTGGACAGGGTCTTTTGTCCCAGTACCGCAGCGACCTCTACCAACTCCTACACACGCGTAGGCTCGACACCTGGGACACTCTCCGTAGAAGGTCTCGTTCTTAACATCTCCCAATCCCTCACTACCGCCGACGTCAATTTCTACACCCTCGCCTCGCAAAGTGCCGGTCAGGACATTACCAACCTGTTCAAACGCAGCGCCACCGACTTCACGTCATGTAAAGGTATGACATTTGCAGCGGCGACAGATGACCCATGCGCGGCGTCAAGTTCGTGCCAGCTGGGTGCACCGACAGTGCAGACGCTGCAGTCCCTAAAGCTGGTCCAAACCGGAAGTTTGACTGGGTTCGACTGGGACCAGGTCGCCACATTCACCACGTACTTCGTAATTGATGGCTACGTGCTGAACCTTACACCATACATGGAAGCGCACCCGAAACCCATCGCGAACGATCCCATCGACGCGGCCATCCGTACCGCGCTCGTCAACCAATCCCCGACTGACGGCAAAGACGCGACTCGGCTCTTCACGTACAGGTCAGACCTGAAGGCGGCCGTGCCGTGTCTGACGGAGCGATACTTTGCTGGAAGGATAGACAAGATCACTCCAGGGTGCTTCATCTCCGCGCTCTTCCTTTACAGCAGTCTCATCGTCATCCTTGGCGTAGTCCTGGTTCGCTTTGCCATGGCATGCGTATTCAACTGGTTCCTCAGTTCACGGCTTATCCAACCACCGAAGAACCTGGGTAGGACGGTGATCAGTCCCGCTGTGATGCCTGAGGGCGCAAACGTCGCTGTGGACAACAAGAATGGGACAGCCCCTTGGGCTGGTGGAGGGGCACCGATCACCATCGGCGGGAAGAAGTTGCACAAGGGAAACGTCTACCAGAAGACCGCGAGCACGTCTCCGAACACCTCGAGCACGACTCTCGTACCATCCTCCTCCAGTCACTCTAACAACATCTCACCCAACTCGACAAAAGCACCGGCCCAGCCTCTCATCACCATGGGTCAAATCGGAGCTGAGCTCTTCTGTGTGTGTTTGGTGACGTGCTACAGCGAGGGAGAAGAGAGTTTGCGAACGACGTGCGATTCAATCTCGACAACAAACTATTCTGATGCGAGGAAGCTTCTGTTCATCGTCGCAGACGGAGTAATCACTGGAGAGGGAGAGAAGAGGAGCACGCCGGACATTTGTATTGGCATGTTGGACCAGGATCCGAGGTTCGGGACACCAATACCCATGGGTTACGTTGCCGTTGGAGGTGGTGCAAAGATGGAGAATAGAGCTATGGTGTATGCTGGTCATTACAGTGAGTCGCGCCTCGCCTCACTTTGCACATAACACACAAAGGATTGAACGTATGTGTGGGGGGAAACAGCCGTCGCAGGCCGACACACTCCCGCACTGGTCATTGTCAAATGCGGTACCGAAGCCGAGGCGAAAAAGGAGAAGAAGCCCGGAAATCGAGGGAAGCGGGACAGCCAGCTTATCCTGATGAACTTCTTTTCCCGGGTGACGTACAACGACCGGATGACACCGTTGGACTTCGACTTGTTCCGGAAGATACAAGTCTTGATGGGCGTCACACCGGATTTCTTCGAAGTCTGCCTGATGGTCAGTGACACCTTTTCGCTACCTCCAACCCAATTCTAATATTTCGTTGCGTCTAACAGGTGGACGCGGACACCAAGGTGTACCCAGACTCGGTCAAACACCTCGTCAACTGCATGCAGCACGACAATCTTATCATGGGCGTCTGCGGTGAAACCCGTATCGCAAACAAACGCCAGTCTTGGGTCACTGCCATCCAGGTCTACGAGTACTTCATCTCCCATCATCTCGCTAAGGCCTTTGAGTCCGTATTTGGTGGTGTCACCTGTCTCCCTGGATGCTTCTCTATGTATCGACTCAAGGCGCGCAAGGTCAACGACGACGACTGGATCCCCTTGATCACCAAACCTGAAATCGTCAAGGAGTACAGTCAGAGCAACGTTGTCACCCTACACCAGAAGAACCTCTTGCTCCTCGGAGAAGATCGATTCCTTACTACAATCCTACTCCGGACGTTCCCAAACCGGAAGATGATGTTCTGTCCGCAGGCACTGTGCCGAACGGTCGCCCCTGACACGTTCGCCGTCCTGCTCTCTCAACGACGTCGGTGGATCAACTCGACGATCCATAACCTAATGGAGCTGGTCCGCGTACGGAATCTTTGTGGGACCTTCTGCTTCTCGATGCAGTTCGTCGTGTTCATGGACCTTATTGGAACGACCGTGTTACCCGTCGCCATCTGCCTTACGTACACGCTGGTCGTCAACATGGCCCTGAATCCACCTGACACGTTCGAGAAGGCAATCCCGTTGATGTTGTTGTGCGCGGTCATTGGGCTCCCAGCCGTGTTGATTTTGATCACCACGAGGAAGGTCGTATACGTGTTTTGGATGTTGATCTACCTCATGGCGCTCCCGATTTGGAACTTTGTCCTACCCCTATATGCTTTCTGGCACTTTGACGATTTCTCATGGGGAGAGACCAGGTGAGTCTCACAACATAGAGAATTATTTATTTGCACTGGGCTAACCGCTTCTGGTTTTCCGTCTCAAATCGCAGACGTGTTGCAGGAGAGGGTGCATCGAAGGCTCATGACGAAGATAAGGGCACCTTCGACGGCTCCACCGTTCCGATGCGGAGATGGGAGGATTGGGAGCGGTCGCGGTTACGCAAGCTCAAGCGCGAGGAGAAACGCAAACGCGAGATGGAACGCGCCTATCCGAGAGGATACCAAACCGATCCCATGAACGGCGGCCAGCCAACCTTCCTCCGGCCATTCACATCATACACCGACGGCGGGAGCGATTATGAAGGTGATACCAATTCAATCGTCTCCTCAGTGGACGACGATCAGTGGGGAACGCAGATCGGTGGATACAATGAGAACGGGTCGATGTTTCCAGCACCTCCTGCCACCCTGCATTCTCCTGCGAGGTCCATGGTTGAGAATGCTCAGACGCTTGGGAAGGATGAGCTGGAAGCGATGTTGGAGCAAGGATGGGACGACCCGAATCCACCACCAGTCCCTCCATTACCTGCTGGAATCACGCAGAATAATGCGCCCCGGTATCAGCTGAGTGATGAAAGAGGGGGTGGGGGTCATAATACTTCAGTGGGTAATCCGCGCAATCCCACTCCATCGTCGAGAAACATTACGAGCCCGATATCCCCTTTAGTCACGCCCAACGGCTCGAGCTCAGCAATCGATGGGGAACGGAGGACGCACATGAAAAAACGTAGCGGGAGCAAAACGGCGGGCTCGGGTGGATCTCACGATTATGGTCCACTGGGTCCTCTCGGCCCCTCTGGGTCGTCTAGACGATTGTAGACCACCACCTCTGTCGCCTTCCAGCCGTTAACCATGCAACCCTCCCCGCTCCGCCTCTCCTCACTCTTCGTTCGTAAATGGAATTCGCTACTGGTACTTGCTTTCCTCTGCACGGACTTGAATCTCACTGTCCTTTCCTTGCATCTATCTCTCCTTTCCTGCATGTTAAATCTCCCCCTCGCATAAACCATCAACAATGACGCATCTAAGTTCCTTCCCTCTCTTTTATAAGACTTTTTCTCTTTTCCTTTCATCTTGATTACCATCCTATTTTTTTACTCTGTCGTTCTTGCTTCGCTTTGTTTCTCGGTGCGGTGCTCTCGCTTTTCCGGTGCGATTTAGCAAATATCTATCTTATATCCAGGACCAAACAGTAGACAT